TGGTTTATCTTCTCCTCCTAATAGCCTCATTTTCCCTCGAAGTCTTGGTTAAATTTTTTTGATTAAACTTACATTTAGCTTTTGCTTTCATCATGGGCTTTTTTGGGTTAATCCCGAGCTTTTCCACGGAGGCGAATCTTCCTTATTTTCCGTCTTTGTTGAACAGGCTCCTGCGTGGATGCTTTCCTGAACAGTACAGTAGTTATCGACCAATCCTATCCTCGTAAACCCCGCTTCCTCTATTATTCACATCACATATCTCATTCGTGGTTAGCATTTCGAATTTAACCTCCGACCTTCAGAGGAGGCACGATGGAGCTGCTGGAGAGCCGAGTTCGAATTCCAGTCGAATCCATTACATTGACTTACATGCTAATATCCTTGGGAAAGGTGTGAATCCTCGTCTTCTCCTCTCCCCAGCTATGGGTAAATGGTAGGACAGGTCTGGCTCTATAGACTTGGATGGCAACTGACCTACGGCAGAAAGAAATGGCAATCTACTGCGAGAAAAAAAAAAATCCGGGCCCGGAAAATTATATTTTTGAAACACTGTCATTTGAGAACAGTAATTTTTTTCATTTGAACATCAGCTATTGAAAGTTAGAGTGTTGTGTCCCTTGAAGTTGAAAAAAGTGTGAACAATCACTGGGGTCTGACATTCGCATTTATTATATATATATAAATGTATATATATATATATATATATATATATATATATATGTGTGTGTGTGTGTGTATATATATATATATATATATATATATATATATATATCAGACTGTCTATTAAAATACAGTGACATGATGAATATATATATATATATATATATATATATATACATGTGTGTGTGAGATTGTTCATATTTACACTGATATTTGCATTTATTATATAGATATGTATCGTCGGTTGGACATTTTGTTTAGCGGCATATCAACACCTCTATGGGTTATTTAATGCCGAAATCTAAATATTTTGAACACAATTTTATAGCCTTCAACTAAATATATTTGGAACGCAATTGTATGTTTTCAATTACAGATAAAATGTATTGTTGGTCATTTTGTTTAGCAGCATATCAACATCTCTATGGGTTATTTAATGCCGAAATCTATATATTTTATACGCAATTTTATTTTATTTCTGGAGATAATAATGATTTAGTGATACAAGTCTTACTAATTTACCCATAGCTGGGTGGCGAAAAGGTTGATTCATATCTTTCATGAGCCAATGTTGCAGTTGATTAAATATAACGGCTTCCAACAACGGTTCGAAATTTTTTCCAATTAACAATCCTGAGCCATTATTTTTTACACCAGTTCATATGAAGCTTACAGCACCTGTAATATTAAAAGCCGTCACCCATCTGACCAAGCTCGATGTTTTAACTTCTTGTGATCGTAGGCGGGAAGGAGTTTCAATGTGATGTGGTTAACAGACGGATTAATACAAATGACTTAATCGGACTAAAAAATTTAACGTTGATGCGAATTCGAATTTATATTTATAAATATATATATATATATATATATATATATATATATATATATATATATATATATATATATAATATATATATATAAGGTTGTTAGCAAAAAAATGATTTTTTTTTTACTAAATGATGATTTTTCTCAGTCTAACCCATAACTCAATTTTATTAAATAAAGTAAATTTTTAAATTATATATATATATATATATATATATATATATTATATGAATGAAAAAATATATAGAAAATAGGAAATATATATATATATTAGGTTGTTACGCAAGAAATTACAGCATTTTTTTTCGTTTTTGTTGATCTAAAACTTGAATCTATAAAAATATATATATATAGAATATATATATATATATATATATATATATATATATATATATATATATATATGTGTGTGTGAAAAATATATGTTTGAAAATAGGAAGGAACTTTAAAAAGGTAAAAAATCAAAAGTCCCTTAGTATTTTAGTTATTATTTTAAAAAAATAATGCCCGATAAAAAGTACCATAAAAAAAATTAGAAATATTTGAAGATGGAACGGATGCCCATTTATCTTTTCAACTCAATTTAATTTAAAGGATTATATTTATTTTTTTATGGAATGTTTTTGAAAACATCTTATGATCAATTTGGAATCATATTTTAAATATTTAAATAATCATATTTTTAAATAATATAATTATATATATATATATAAAATCATTTTTTTTTTTATTCACTGAAATTTTCTTTCCAGATAATTTTTCTTTCAATATATTTTTACTCATAAACCCAATGAAAAATGATGACATCATTGTCGAGTCATCTTCTCTCCCCCCACAAACTATAAAAAAAGAACATTTTTGCATTGAATCATTACATGCGATGAGAAATGGATACTTTTTGACAACAGCAAGAAAGCAGGCCATTGGGTAGATGTTTTGGTTAGAATCACCAAAACATTACACCCAAAAGTTATCTCTGGTGGTCTTTCAAAGGGGCTATTCATTATTGCCTCATGGGAAAACAATAACCGCAACCTTGTGCTGTGGAGAAATTGAGTGTATGCACATAAAAAAAAAAAAATTGGAAAATAAACATTCTAGACTTGTGAATAGGGGATGGCCTAATTTTGCTGTATGACAATATTTTTAAGCTGCTCAATCAACTGTCCAAAAGCTGCATAGCCTGAATTAAAAATTTTGCCTCATCCTCCATATTCATCTGATATCTCTCTTACTGATTCTCATTTATTTAAGCATTTTGAGCTTTTCATATGCAATAAAACATTCTCCAATAAGGAAGAGGGAATCAAAGCATTTGAACTGTTTATCAAATCAGAGAATAAGAATTTTTTTTTAATTAAAGATGGCATGAAGAATTTAGAGTTATGTTGGAGAACAGTCATTCATCGACATGGTGCCTATTTCAAGTAAATAAATTAGTTATTTAACATTTAAGAAGCGATTTATTTACTTCCTATAAAGTATGACATTTTAATATTTTAAACAAACGTCGAAAAGAAGATATTAGTCATGACTGACGCTGAAAAGATGTGGGTTTCTACTTTCTAGTTTCCAAGGCATACAGCAATAATATGAAGAGACTGTGTGAGAATGCACGGCTGCACCCTACTCTATCAGCTGTTCATATGCTACATAGCCTGAATTATGAAATCCGGCCTCATCCTTCATATTCAGCTGATATATCTCCTACTGATTATCACTTATTTATACATTTCATCATACTTATTATGAAACCCAGGCTGTGTGTGGGTGTGTCTGTTCGTTTGTATATTGGATCGGATTTCCTACATTTTTCAACCGATTTCAACAAAACTTCTCAGGACTACGTAAAATTACCTTACGATGGTTCTGACATTTATTTAAAAATTGAAAAACACAATTGTTTTGCAAGAAATCAATTTGAAAAACACGATTCAGTCGTCAGAATGAAAGGGGACAACTCATATCGAGTTATACTTATTATAAAAACCCAGGTTGTTTGTGTGTGTGTGTGTGTGTTTCATTTATATATGGGATCGGATTTCCTACATTTTCAACCGATTTCAACAAAACTTCACTTTTTTGGGGGCGGTACAGGTAGTGTTTCTTATTGTGTTTTAAA